ATGCTTATACTGTAAGCTTCTTCTTTTTCTTGCTTGTGTTTTTAAAATATAGAGGACTAAATTCAAGAATTTTACAGGACCGAGACTTTGAGTCTGGAGGACAGGGTAAAAGCAGCACTGATCAAGGACATTCCCGATTCAAGTCTGACTCGGACAAAGATGAAAGGGTTAGTACCTACACGTTATTGAGGTTGGCTTACTGTAAAAATATGTTTATGTTGGGCAACAGTGGTTTTAGCTCAATGAGCTATTGGAATAGTGCTGTGTCTTGGGTCTGTCTGTATGGCCTTCTGTTCATTCGTGGACGACGTACTTCTCATTGATGAGTGTAGATGGCCTTTTTGTCTTTCATTCTGTATTTTTATATAGGCATATAATTTTGAAATTCTTTTGTTAAAAAACTGTTGTTTTTAATTTAATAGCTGTTGAAAACAGGCCTACTGTAAAACACGTCATTTTAGCTAACTTAGCTAACCTGTAATTTCTCTAATTCAAGATGTCATTAATTTAGAATAAAGTATATTCTCACAATGAGATTATTGGCATTTTAGCTAAATTAATTCATGTATTGAGTCAAATTCGCTGAAATGGCACGTAAGCTATTTCAATGTGTTTTACAGTATTTTCAAAGTGTTGGTGTGTTATAATATGTCATAGCCAACTGTTGGCCATTTTGTTTTAGTGAATGGCATTTCTGGAGCTATATTCGTTATAGACTCTGACTGTTCTTGTTAAAACTTTTAAAAAAAACTTTAAAACTCACAGGGACTAAGTAATGCATTACTTGTTAATTAGTTTTAAATTAGGTAAGTATGAAGAATAACAAATTCTCAGCCATGTTCGTCAATGGTCAGTCATTGCATATGATTAAGATTCAAAGAATACAGCATACATTTGAATTTGAATTTTAAACCACCAGTTCAATAAATTTGTTATTTTTTGTAGATTGTTGAAAGGCAAGAACAAAAAAGTCAAATTAGCTCCACTTAACAAACAACAAATAAATGAAGGTTATGATGATGATGACGATTACGATAATTCATTCCACCGATCCTCCAAACTACCAGACATACCACATCAACGACCGGACCCAGTTGGGCGAACGTCAACACCTGACAATTTGGATAGAGATATGAGACGCCATTATATAGACAGCGAAGATGAAATTGACGACTACTTTGAACAGAGCAGTCGTCCAGTTCCGAGACCACGTGCAAGAGATGATGCTAACTATACATACTAAACGAATTTACACCTATTCTGTCTTAAAAATCACCTCATCACTCAAACGTATTGGTATCAGTTGCATAACAAAACAAGTTTCATTTAACTTAAAAAAAGATGATTGTCCAAATGGAAGTCTTAACATCTTGAAATTGTTATAATCCGACAACATGTATGCTATTTTCAAAGCCCCAAAGTTGGCAGTACAAAATAATTGGTTGATTCTGAAAAGATGGGAAAAAACATTTTAAAACCAGTTGTGCTCACTGTTTAACTTGATCTGATTGACTTGTTAGAATTTAACTGTTTTCTTTTCACAATGCTGCGAGTTTGTTGCTTAAACAGGTCTAAAATTCACAAAAATTTGGTCTCAAAGCCAATGAAAATAGCCCATCAAAGATCACACAACCCGGTACTTTATTGCGGTTTTGTTTCCCTATTACAGCTATAATTTTCAAGATTAACAAATTTTGTCACAATAAGTGATCGAGAAATCTCAAGATGTGTGAGCTTTTGAAGGTCATGATTACAGCCTACTTGTAGAAACCCTGCATAGACCTGATTATTTTCTTATTGTCATTATCACAAGTGTTTTTTTTTTATATTGATAAGCAATTGATACATATACGATTGTGTTTGACATCCGAGTGATAAAACAAAATTCAAATAATAACCATTAAACTTGAACAGATGCACGAAGAACACTCCATAAAATAGAATGCACACAATCTTTCGGACGGTGAGCAAAAAACCAAATAGGTAGATACAACTCTCATTCTTGCAGGGGTCATGGTAGAACCCCCATTTGAGAGATTTTGAATCTGCATTGATTTCTTCTGACCCGATTTTGATTTGTGTAATCAAGTTTGGTCGCTTAGTGCTACTTATCAGTTTTTGAATATTTTATAGCCGGTAATGTACATAATCTATAAAATATTTTTAATGAGTTTATTTTTAAGCTGCTGACATGCAGTAATTTTATAAAAAAAAAAGAATAAATTATTATATTTTTGTTCATATTTGTATAGCAGAAATGAAAAACCACTTTTTGACATTTTATAATTTCCCAAATATTTAGAATTTTTGTAGATATAACTTATGAATACCTAATTAGTTGGATGGTAGTTATGTACAATTTATGTACATATTCATCAAAACTAAATTTTTAGTAGTTTTATATATTTTTTATCAATGCACCGTATTTTTTTTATTAGAAGCGCATCTCCAGTAGAGGTATATATGGGTGACAAAAAGTATGTTCTGATGTTATTGCATGTTTATTTGGTTAGATGTTTTGGTAGGACTTGAATTTCTAATAGGGCAAATATGATTTTTTTTGCAGTCTTCCATGTGATTAACATAGGAATGACTTTTTTTAAAAGTTTGATGTAGATCTTTTTCACTTTAAAATACCATGTGCAAATACTTTGAGAAAATTTTCCACCAAAGATTATATTTTCTTACTAAAAATCTAATTTCCTATCTTTGACTAAAAATGGATTTACTACTGCATTTATCATACATGTATTGTCTAAAAATATTGTAGTAGTCTTGACAGAACAAGTGAAAACATAAAAGCATGCTTTCCCCTTATTGTCTTTCATTTCAAGCCAGTACATAATCAAATAAATTAATTTTCGTCTTGATTATCAACAGATTTTGATATAAATACAACCGAAACCATTTTTTATATATATCTTTGATAAGAAATGCCAAATGCAAGATAATGGCCATTATCACAACACTACAAGTGCCAACAACTAAATGTCTTATTTAAATTTGTTTTAGAAGTTGAACTTGAGGTGCTTTCCTCCTGTTACCATAATAGAAATGTACGCCCAACAAATTTGTGGTTTAAGCATTGAAGAATTCAACTATCCAACACATTTTGTTAAACATTCAAACTGTTATTACAAATTTAATAATTCCAAATTGTGACCTCAAACCCAATGGACAGATATATTTGTAAATACATACAGTAGGAATAATCTA